AAAACCCCCCCCCCCCCTAAACCACTGCACACCACACACAAAAGAAAAAGGGTGGCATTGGGTTTAGGGGAATTTTTGTTCCAAACCAAATAAATGGGTTGGGTCCTTTTTTAGGAAAATTTAATACTCAACCCAATCAAATTCTGATTTGGCTTGGGTCACGGTGTGATGGGATGGATGTGTTTGGGATTTATTGACCCAAACCAACAAGGTTTATTTCTCACTGATTCAAACTATGAATACAGTCAATACACAACTCACCCCATTTTTTACCTTTGGGTAATGCTGTCAATGGTACAACATTTATTTGGGTAATGAATGGAATGGAACAACTATAATTAAGTACAGAAGAAAGATGCTTAATTGTAAATTATGTGAACAAGACCACTCATGATGTAAATATCAAAAACAGCACAAAAGTTAGTGGAATCGAAGGTTACAGAAAACCTTATCAAGCCTCTCTTGTCATCAGCACTAAGACAACCCCATTCTCTAATAGCTGCTTCTCGGATTGCTGCTGCTGCTTGAAACCTTGCAGTTGCGACCAGGGAATTTTCTGCATACACAAAAGCATTAAAGTAACAGCATGATCTAAACCAGAATACAAAATACCAAACAAACTACAGTGCTCAGGATGCAAAATCTTAAAAATGGCATTAAATAAAGTATAATGAATGACAATGATGCACAAAAATGTTCCAAAACTAAAATAATGAATAAGATGCCCCATATTTTTTAAAAATTGATAGGTGAGACACACAAGTAACCACACAATAGGAATTTGACCAGTAAAGAAACCTCAAAATATCATCTGTCACAATTAATATATCTTCTGGTTTGGACATTATAAAGGACTTTTGTTGGCCTTATAGATCAGAGATTTTCTGATTCTGAAGTTCTGTTCTCCCCAATGCAAAATCTTGTACACTATATTTGAAAGCCTTTGAGCAGAGGGGAAGTTGGGGGCAAGGAAATTGATTTCTTCCTGTTTTCAGATGTTTAAATATGGAAAAGAAATGCAATATTTTCCGCTTGTTTGGGTGTTAAGGTTGAAGAAGGAACTAGAGTTACTTCTTATTTAATTTAAAGTAAAACCAGACTTTTTTTTTCTTCATCCAACTAATAAACAACAACAAAAATGCTTTATAATGATCTGACAAACTAATTAAATCATAATTCTTAAGTAAATTATTCAAACTGCAATTTTGACATATTAAAAGGGCAGTAGATCCTGCACTGTGATCAAAACTAGTTTGCGAAATTTTTGTCTTTCAACACATAATCAAGATCGAAGTCAACTCCCACATTCTTGTCTGTCAATTATCATCCGAATTAGCAGTATCATTTACATAAGACAGAAAACATATATTTTGTTTGGCACACATGTAAACTCACCAAGAATGAATTGGCAAGTCTTATATGGCTGAGAAGACTGGCCTAATGACAATATAACTGCCTCAGAAGCTCCTGGATTTAAATGCATCTGAAAATAAATGCATAAAAAAGAATAAGAACATAACTAAATATGTATTTACAATCCTATGAGTCCATATTTCAAATCAAATTCTGTCAGGCCCCATAAAATAGCTAGCCCAGTCCAACTCAGCCATGGGCCATGGGTATGGAAGACATATAATAGGAGAAATAAAAAATATTAGTAGAAGGGGTAAAAGGGGAATTTATGCAAGGAGGGAACGTGGAGTTAGTTACGTTTTGGGTGGATTCTCATTTTAGAGGGAGGAGGAAAGAGAAGGGGGACAGTTTTTGGGAATTCCGTTAGTAGTGGGTCAGGAGCTGTGCTCTGTGGGTATTGCAGATTCTATCTCTGTAATACATTTCGTTTTCAATAATACAGTATCTTTCAATTTTATTTCTTGGTCTCTGACAATTGGTCCGACCTGCCGGATCCGTTGCCTGAGTCATCAACGAAAGAGTTTATGCCCAAAGGACGTGGAGGAACCTCAGCAGCGATGGACGGTCGTGTAAGCTTGTTGGAGGTCACGGTGCAGAATTTGGCGGAGAACCAGGTGAAAGCCCAATCGGAGTTGCAGAGTCTAATGAATAAGATGATGGAGGAGATGAGGCAAATGGAAGTTCGTTTGTCACGAGGCTCAGGTGGGAATGTTTCGAATGTTGGGTCGTCGGGTTCGAGTGAAAGTGGGTCGCATAATCAAAGTCCCTTGGAGTTGCAAATATTATCCGAATTTCGATCAGCTGTGAAGAAGGTGGAGCTTCCGAGTTTCGATGGCAGTGACCCCGGTGCATGGATATCAAGAGCAGAGACGTATTTTGAAATTCAGGAAACTCGACCTGAGTTGAAGGTGCGTTTGGCTAAGATTTGTATGGAGGGATCCACTGTGCATTGGTTCAATCTTTGGTTTGACAGTGAATCTGAACCATCTTGGGAGGGTCTTAAAGTAGCATTACTGCGGAGGTTCGGAGGAGCGTTCGTTGAGAATCCTTTTGAGAGTCTTGCAGAGTTACAACAAGAGGGAACAGTGACCTCTTATATTGAGGAATTTGAGTACTTAACTTCTCAAGTCCCTAAGATGCCAGAGCAACAATTTATGGCCTATTTCATGCATGGTCTTCGAGCAGAAATTAGGAGGAAGGTCAGAATACATAAACCTGACAACAGGGTGAGAATGATGGAGCTTGCAAGGGCGATTGAGGCTGATTTGCTCGAGGAAACTCACTTAAAACCCTTATATAAGAGGGGTTTGGGGGTAGTTGATGGGAGTCAAAATCGTACTCTGTTTTCTCGTGGTGGAACAGAGTATTCTGCAATGTTAAAATCTGGAGGAAACTTAGGTGGTCAGCAAAGGAGGGAATTTCGTCATGATGAATCAAAGAATAAAGGCTCTAGTGTAAGCAACACAAGTACCGGAGAGAGGCGATTTGGTGGTGGTAGGGATCGTGGGGTGCGTCACTTATCTTATGGAGAATTAATGGAAAGGAAACAAAAAGGGTTATGTTTTAAATGTGGTCAAAACTTTCACCCAATGCATCAATGTCCTGAGCGTCAACTGAAATTAATTATTGTGGATGAGGAGCAGTTAGAAGGTGGGGAACATGAAGTATTGGCCTTAGAAATGGAGGAGCAGCCACCAGAGGAGCTCACTTGTTCGCTCCTTAGTAGCTGTAATGTAGAAAAGAGGACTGATTTTCAACCTAAAACCATGAAGATCAAGGGGATGGTTAAAGGCGTTCCTGTGATCATTTTAATTGATAGTGGAGCTTCACATAATTTTGTTTCTTCAAGGGTGGTGGATTCTTTGGGGTTGGATTATGGGCAGACTACAATTGCAAAAGTAACACTGGGGGATGGTAACAAAAAAAATGTGCAAGGACGTTGTAATGGAGTATTGGTGGAATTGGATGAGTTGCAGATAATCATTGACTCTTATGTTTTTGATGTAGGGGATGTGGATTTGATTTTAGGTGTGGAGTGGTTGGCTACTTTAGGGAAAGTAACTACTGATTGGAAGAAACAAATTATGGAATTTAATTATGAGGGGAAGAAGATACAATTGAAGGGAGAAGTCAATCTTGGGAGAGTATTTGAGTCTTTGTTTTGCTTTCTAAATCAGGAGGTACAAGAGATAAATGGGGTGATGTGGCCTAGTAATATTCAAAAGGCAAAAGGATGTGAAGGTGAAGGATTGACGGATGAGCAGGAGGGAAGGCTGCAACGTATTTTGCAAAATTTTTCAGAAGTGTTTTTAGAGCCTAAAGGCTTACCTCCTAAGAGGACCAAAGAGCATGTGATTGTTTTGAAGCAAGGGGCTGAACCTGTGAATGTGAGACCATATCGATATCCACATTATCAAAAAGAAGAAATAGAAAGGCAAGTGGATGAATTATTGAAGTTTGGAGTCATTAGGCCTAGCACAAGTGCCTATTCAAGCCCGGTGATATTGGTAAGAAAAAAAGACCATACTTGGAGAATGTGTGTTGACTATAGGGCTCTTAATAAAGAGACTATACCTGACAAGTATCCTATACCAGTCATAGAGGAATTGCTTGATGAATTGAATGGAGCTTCTTATTTCTCTAAGCTGGATCTAAAGTCAGGGTATCATCAAATCCGGGTAAGAGAAGAAGATATTCCTAAAACTGCTTTTAGAACTCATAATGGCCATTATGAATATCTTGTGATGTCTTTTGGGTTAATGAATGCACCAGCAACCTTTCAATCCTTGATGAATGATGTGTTCAGGCATTGTTTAAGGAAGTTTGTTTTGGTGTTTTTTGATGATATATTAGTGTATAGCAGAGATTGGGGGTCTCATATCCAACATTTGGAGCATGTGCTGTCTTGTTTAAAAGAACATGGCTTGGTAGCGAATAAAAAGAAATGTCATTTTGGCAGGAAGACAGTAGAATATTTAGGCCATGTAATTTCGGAGGATGGAGTTGCAATGGACCCGGAAAAGGTGAGAAGTGTTTTGGAGTGGCCCGTTCCAAAAGGGGTAAAAGGTGTTAGGGGTTTCTTGGGATTGACCGGGTATTACAGAAAGTTCATTAAAGATTATGGCAAAATTGCTAAACCTCTAACAGATTTAACAAGGAAGGAAGGATTTCATTGGGGGGAACAAGCTCAAACGGCTTTTGAGAGGCTAAAGAAGGCTATGACAGAGGCACCAGTTTTGAGGCTACCAGATTTCACAAAAGAATTTGTGATAGAATGTGATGCTGCAGGAAGAGGGTTGGGTGCTGTTTTGATGCAAGAGGGTCGACCCGTGGCCTATTTTAGTAAATCTCTTTCTGAAGGAAATTTGGCAAAATCGGCTTACCACAAAGAGCTCATGGCACTAGCTTTGTCAATTCAACATTGGAGACCGTATCTTTTAGGGAGACATTTTAAGGTTTTTTCTGATCAAAGGAGTTTGAAACAATTGTTGGGGCAGAGAATTTCTACCCCTGATCAACAATGTTGGCTCACTAAATTGTTGGGCTATGATTTTGAGGTGATTTATAAGCCTGGTCCTCAAAATAAAGCTGCAGATGCTTTGTCTAGGAGTAAGGAAGAAGTGGAATTACAAGTTCTGGTTTCTAAACCAGAATGGTTGGACTCAAGTATGGTGCAAGAAGAAATTCATCATGATTCTTACTTGCAAGGGGTGGTTTCAGATTTGCACAAAGACCCCACATCTAGGCCTGGATTTTCTATAAAACATGATATTCTTTTCTATTATGGCAGGTTGGTCATTTCAGCAAATTCTTCTTGGATTCCAATTCTCTTACATGAGTTTCATAGCACACCTACGGGTGGTCATTCTGGCTACTATAGGACATATAGAAGATTGGCTGAAAATGTTTATTGGTGTGGCATGAAGAAGAGAGTTCAAGATTTTGTTAAAGAGTGTGACATTTGCCAACGACAGAAATACCAAGCTCAATGTCCATCTGGGTTACTGCAACCATTAGATATCCCAGAACAAATTTGGGAAGATGTAAGCATTGATTTTATTACTGCTCTCCCTAAGTCCAAGGGACTTGATACCATACTAGTTGTGGTGGATCGACTCTCTAAATATGCTCATTTTCTTTCCCTTCGACATCCATTTACAGCTAAAACAGTGGCTGATTTGTTTGTGAAGGAAGTGGTAAAATTGCATGGGATTCCCAAGTCTATAGTCAGTGACAGGGATCCCCTTTTTCTAAGTCATTTTTGGACTCAATTATTCAAATCCCAAGGCACCAAGCTTAGGATGAGTTCTTCTTATCATCCAGAAACTGATGGCCAAACAGAGATTATTAACAAGTGTTTGGAAACTTATCTCAGGTGTTTTTGCTCTGAACAGCCTAAGACTTGGGTCAATTGGTTGCACTGGGCAGAATGGTGGTATAACACCACTTTTCATGTCACGACAGGGGTCAGTCCTTTTCAAGCAGTATATGGCAGGAAACCTCCTACATTGGTGCAGTATGTTACGGGTGAAACCAAAGTAGAATCAGTTGAGAAGGAGCTTATTGATAGGGATGAGGCACTTAGACAGTTACGGTATCATCTACAGCGAGCTCAAGGACATATCAAGAAGTATGCAGATAGGAAAAGGAGTCATCACTCCTATGAAGTGGGAGATTGGGTTTTTCTCAAGCTAAGACCACACAAACAACAAAGTTTGGCACAAAGAATTAATCCTAAATTGGCTGCTCGGTTCTATGGGCCTTACCAAATTGAGAAGAAGATAGGGGCGGTAGCATATCAGTTAAAGCTTCCTTCACATTCCAAAATTCATCCCATTTTTCATATTTCTCAACTCAAGAAAGCTGTTGGCAACTACCAAGAGACCGTGGACTTACCTGCAGGTTTGGAAGCGGAAGTGTTTGAGAACATTACACCTGAGCAGATTTTGGCAGTTCAACAAAGACAGAAGAATGGGGTTCTTGTTCCATACTGGTTGGTCAAGTGGTGTGGGAAACCTGTTGAGGAGGCAACTTGGGAAGAAGCATTTACTATTACCAATCAATTTCCTGATGTACGCCTTGAGGACAAGGCTATTGTTGAAGGAGAGGGCAATGTCAGGCCCCATAAAATAGCTAGCCCAGTCCAACTCAGCCATGGGCCATGGGTATGGAAGACATATAATAGGAGAAATAAAAAATATTAGTAGAAGGGGTAAAAGGGGAATTTATGCAAGGAGGGAACGTGGAGTTAGTTACGTTTTGGGTGGATTCTCATTTTAGAGGGAGGAGGAAAGAGAAGGGGGACAGTTTTTGGGAATTCCGTTAGTAGTGGGTCAGGAGCTGTGCTCTGTGGGTATTGCAGATTCTATCTCTGTAATACATTTCGTTTTCAATAATACAGTATCTTTCAATTTTATTTCTTGGTCTCTGACAAATTCTTGCAGAAACTCTAATCCATCACTGCACCCACATGAAATTGGAGTAGAAAATGTTGAAGAAAATATATCTTCAAGACAATAGTGGGACTATGGCATTTCCCAACTCCTTGCAAAATCTAATTATATATTGAACACAGAGCAGGATAGGTTTCCCTTAAAGTTTCACATGTGAATAATGTATGCAAGTCTTCCTAGACTATATGAATGGGTAATCCACAAGAACCAAAATGACTAGAATAGCAACGAGGAGTTAAAACTTAAAACAAAATTTTAGTAGTGCGGTACAATAGTGGAAAATGTTGAAAATCTGACAGTAAGTGCTACATACATTCAGTCTTTGTCAAGTACTTTCTACTAATAAATGAAAAAAAAAAAAAAGTAGTAATACACTTGCAATGTTCCTGAGTTTCACACCTGCAATTTTTCCAATAACTTCCGTACGAGAAAAAAAAAACTGTTAATATAGTAAAATGCTACCATAAGTGCATATAATCCATAGATTTTTCTTTTAAGTGTGAATGTGATAACCTTCTACTCTAAACAGAATAAAATTTATATTTGAATTGTAACGACTAATGAAATTCCACTCCCCTCCTCCGGTTATTCCGCCAAGCAAGGTAGGAATAACAACAGCCATCGAAATACATAATAAATAAATACCGAAGCAAGTTACATACAAAAACGAAGAAGCCATAACCAGAACCAAGGTGAGCGAACAGATATTTTCGGAGTTTTAGCATTTCGATCCTGAATCCGATTTCACATCCACTTAAAAAGAGTTTCGTATTCTTACTTATCTCTACATTATTTTCTTCTCTACTGCAGCGATATGAATATAAACGTGGAAAGAGAAATAATGAAAAATGAGTGAGTGATTGGAACCTGAATGGAAGTGCAAGCGTGCTCGATGGCTCGCATGGTGGACTGAAGCTCAGCCAAATCAGTGGTTGTTGCCGTAAACCCTTGCATCTTGGCACTGTAACGAAATCGGAAAGAGGAATTGGAAATGGTTTATCGAGATTCTAATTTTGTCATAAGCATGAATGGGAAGATGAGGTGATGGCAAAGTTGGGAAGTGAATGAATCGGAAGATGAGAGTGTGAGTGGGTGAAGTAAGAGTAAGGGAGAAATAAAAAATTATATTTAATTCGCGAATCCCGAGAGCGGAAGTAGAGGATTCATGGGGTGCGGCAGGGCTCACTCACTCTCTTTTCTTCCCAAGAGGTTTTTCGTTTTATAACGCACGGTACTACTACCTTAACCTTAATAACCTCTCGCCAGTTTTTATTTCGAGACAACTTAGTTACAATAAGTACAGTGCTGTTCTCCCATCAAGTATCAACATCGATATTTTACCTAAGTTATATATCTCATAAATTTAAAATAGAAATATAGTAATGTTAAAATTACCTTTTACTTCCTTAAAAATAATTGATTTTAGTTAAGTTTTTTTTTTGTGTTTTCGTTTATTTATTTATATACACGGATAATTAAAAGAAGACATTGTTTTCTGAAAGATAAATATCATATGTATACATTTTTATAAATGATATATTACAAAGAGATGATTTATTTTTTAAAAGGACTAAATACAATTATTAACTTATTTGCAACGATTGAAAATATTATTAACACATTTAAAAATCGTGTGTATTATTTAATAAACTAATAAATGAATTTTTCTATTAAAAATGATAAGGTTTCATAAAAAAATTATGGTAGATGTATTTTAATAATAGTTTTTAATTTTTATAATTAATTTCCTAATTAAAACATTAAGAGAATGAGATTATAGGAAAACTTTGTGAATAAATCATTTTTGGACCATTAAACTCTATTAGTTTAGAAAATATTAATTATTTATGGAATACTAATTTCAAAAACAATACTTTTTAATTTAGGAAATATAAAGATATATTTATTTTGAGAAAATTTTTCCTGGTTTCATTTACAGTTTTATTCTAAATTTATTTCTTATTTTCCAATATTTATACAAAGAATAGAGAGCGAATTTTTTTTTTTCTTTTTCCTATACAAAACTTTGAAAATAGAAAACATATTGAATACATGATGGGAATTTTATAATAAAAATGAAAACAAAAAGGTTTTTCAAAGTAAACAAACCATGACTTCTTAAAAGATATAAGAAGAATATGAGTTAAGATAAAATAATAATAATAAAAGTTTTTTATCAATCGGATTCAAATTGGTACGGAGGAGTTTACAATAATTCATGTGTATTATTCAATCAATTGATTTAAACTCTTTTGCTGAGTCAGAATAATATGATTGAGAAAAAAGATATATTCTAAACAATAAATAAATAAATAAATAAATAAATATATATATATATATATATATATATATATATATATTGAAAAAAGTGGTCAAATGGAAAAAAGCACTGTCAACATTACTTTGTGACAAGAATTGATGACAAGCATGAAGTAAATTAACAAGGTTATTGACACCTAAAAAACTTTTTTTTAGAAGAAAAATTACCAAATGTGTAACATGATTGGTAAACTATTTGAAGTCACTAAATGCTAACTAAGTCCAATATATTTTATGAATAATGATAAATAAATTTAAGCCAAAATCTCTTATAACAATAATAGTTTTGAATAACAAAATACATTATTGATTTGATGAAGCTAATGACTTTAGTGGATCAGAATCAAAGAAGGAGAAAAAAAATTCTATTTAGACATTGAAAACAATAATTATGTGAATATATATTTTTTTAATCTTTTAACAAACTTTTTTGTGGATCAAACCTAAATCAAGTTGTGATCCACTTAGATTAAAATGACTTGTATTTTATTTGTATTAAAAATTTAAAATTCAAACTCTACATTTCATCAAGTGAGTTTGTCTTAACTTAAATAATTTAATCCATTTTACCAATTCTAATTACAATATATCCGTATCATTAAACTGATAATAGTGCAATGACTCAAACTTAATATATATATTTTTTTCTTTTGAAGTGATGGTGATGAATTTCAAGCCTAAATCTTGGTTTGAACAATTATATTTGCACTTTTGTATTTCTCACTACACACTTTTTTAGAAAAATCCAAAATACACTATTTTGAAACATAAAAACCTTGTCACTTCCTTTCACATTCCCTATTTTTCTCCTTTCCTCGCAACCCCAATGTTGCACCTCATGCACCTTTATTTTCCTTCTTAAATCTCCTATTTCTTCTTGCATTACCTCCCCTGCTCACTACACTCCTTGTGCCGAAAGATTCCCTTGTCTCACCAATAAGTTTTGCGTTTGTGCCGAAAGATTCCCTTATCTCACCAATAAGTTTGCGTTTTCTTTTCACGTCACAAATGTAATGAAAACTAGTTTTGTGTATTCCTTATTTGCTAGGCAGTGTTTGTTTTGAGTGACTATCATGTTTGTTAGGTAATTGTATATATATTTACTCTTGCCATGTGCTTTCTGATAATCACATTGTTTGGTCGTTAAGTATGTTATATCCATTTTATACGAACATTTTAAGAATTTTTTTTAGCCCATGTGCATTGTGATAATCACATTTTTTGCTCATTAAGTATGTTATATTCATTTTGCAGGAACATTATAAGAAAGAAGTTGAGATGCTTTATTAAAGAGTAGTGATGCATGAAACCATAGTTTGAGACACCATGTGAGAGGCATTAAACATCATGAGTATTTATATTATATACAAAGAATGTGTGTATTTTTTTTTTTTTTAATTTCCACCTTTTTAGATTATATTCTTATAACTACTTCAAACTATTCATAAATCACGCATTATCATCTAAATTCTATTATATATTATTTTCTAAATTTACTTAAACCCAAATGCATCTTTCATTTTAATTTATATAAAGTGGGTTAAATAACTTTATTCTTACCTAATAACTCATTTCTTTCCTTTTCCGTCTTCACCTTATTTCTTTTTTCTCCTCCAACATTTTTGCGGTGCCAAATATAACCGGACCCAATAGGAGAAAATATACCCTGTTCTCCGTCACTCCTCTTTGCAATATACAGTCAAAAGCGCAAGATTTTCCATGAGTCGGAGGGAATAATGGTCAAAAATCTTAACCCTCAAAACAGGTCAAATTTCACAGCAACAATACCAAATTCTTCACATAAAGCCATTACGGGAGACAGATTTTGTCTTCGTTCCCAAAAATTCATCTCCAAGTCTATCTAGCATTCAGAATCACATATACATCCTTCTTTGCCATCAAAAAGGACAAGCACATAGACTCGATGACAGCATCCTCAACAGAAAAACAATCGATATCATGTCCCCAAACTCCAAACAGAGAAAGCTATAAATAATTAACCAAAACAAAAAGTTCACTAAGAAGACCTTGATAAACAAATCCCCATGCCAAAGAATATAGTTTTGTTAAACAGACAAATTGAGCTGTCTGTACACATCAAGCTTGCAAAATGTTTTGTACAAACGTTCATACGTATGTTCAGAAATAACATCCATATTAACTAGTGTGGTAGCCAAGTCCCTAGCATCATTAAGCCACCCCCCAAACCCAATCCCTTCAATCAACAACGTGTAAGTAGTTTCATTTGGCCCACAGCCTCTGTCCACCATCGCAGCCAACACCTCAATGGCATCCCCGACTCTCCGCACCTTACACAACCCAAGAATCACAATGTTATAACTAACAACACTTGGCCTACACTCACTACCACTCTCCATGTCCACCAACAATCCAATAGCCTCTTCCACCATCCCATCCCTGCACAAACAAGATATAAGCGAATTATACGTGATCCCATCAGGATCAACACCCTTCTCCAACATCTCCAAAAGACCAAAACCATCCCCAATGCTCTAGCTTTATGACCATTACTCCACAAAGCACTAAACATCGTGTTATATGAACTTGCATTGGGAGGACACCCCATTTCACTCAACTTCTCAAAAACACTCAAAGCCTCACCAGCTCTATTTTTCTTGCACAGAGAAGCCAATACGGTGTTATAGTTAACAATATCCGGCACACACCCTTCAGAGGTCATAACATCCAACAACTCAATAGCCAAATCCACTTTACTCTCTTTGCACAACGCAGCAATGAGAGGATCATAGCAATAACCATCAGGTACCAACCCCTTTTCCTTCATATCCTTCAACAAACCCACACCCTCCTCAACCTTGCGATCACGACAGAGAAAACTAATCAAAACACTGTACGTGACAACGTTAGCCGCGCAACCTTTTGCAACCATGTCAGAAACCAAATCATAGCCCGCTTCCCATTTCCCTAGATTCAAAAGACCCCTCAAGAGAATGTTGTAGGTCATGACATCAGGGGCATAACCCTTGCAGCTTATGCTGCTAATAAACTCAAAAGCGCGATCCACGAAACCCTCTCTGCACATGCCCCTTATGATGGAGTTGTAAGTGAACATATCGGGCTGAAGGCCGGTTTGAAGCATTTCATCAAAAAGCTTCATTGCATCGTCGATCCCATTCCGACCTTGGAGAAGCGTTGCTTCAATTAGAATGGTGTAGGTGACAACGGTGGGTTTGCAATTGCCGTCTAGTAACTGGTTTTTAACCTTGAGAGCGGAATGGAGCATGCCCCTGGAGCAGAGAGAACCTAGGAGGATGTTGTAGGTGACGACGTCGGGGGCGAAACCCTTGATCTTCATTCGGCGGAGGACGTTGTAAGCGGAATCGATTTGATTGGCTTTGCAGAAGCCGGTGATGATTGCGTTGTAGGCGACGACGTCGGGCTCGCCGTGGCTCTCGAGGATTTGCAAGACGTGGAGGGCTTTGTGGATGGTTTTGGAAGTGAAAAAGCCCTTGATGAGGTTGGTGCACAAAACGACGTCGGGTTTGTAACCCTTGGTGACCAAGTGGCGGAGGAAGTAGAGGCACTCGTTGTAGTTGCGGGCCTTGCAGGCTCGGGTGAGGGATTTGATGAGATGGGTGTCTTTGAAATCTGGGGTTTGGGCTTGGGGGGGAGGTTTGGGCTTGGGGACGGAGGAGATAGTGCGGTTGGTGATGGAAATGGTGGTGTCATTGCGAGAATGTGAGAGAAGGTTTGAGTGGGAATTGGTGCGTTTGGATTGGGGTGTGAACAAGGGTAGAAAGTCAGTGGAAACTGTTGTCATTGATAATAAGGGTTCATGGAGCGTGGCTAGAAGTGAACAAGGTGCTTGTGAAGGGAAGGGACCGCGTGATTCCCTGTTTGTCAAATCACGAGATTGTGGATGAGGGAATTAAGGATTGCCTCCAGCAATCTGCAGTCCAAGATAACATACACAAAATAGACAAATAATTATATAATCTCAAACACTTTATATATATATATATATATATATATATATCAATTTCAAAATCATCTATACCTAATTTACTGTAACCAGTAAAGGTTTAATTATTAATAATTTTCTTACTGTGTTTACTCCAACTAAAATGGCCTCTGATATAACATGATTTTAGGACTCTAAATTTATGTACACATATTTGGGTAAACATAATAAAACGAATCCCCCTTAAATTGGGTTGAGTTTATGTTGAGAATGAGTTAAGAACCTCGACCTTGATGAGTTGCATGATAAATTAGATTGACATAGAAAATGTATGATTCGTCGGTTGATTCACTAAATAAAAAATAAATTAAGTTATATTTAAATATGAACTTAATTTAAATTTTCTTAACGTATATTTTCTAAAATTTATCGTTATGATTTAAATAATTATAGTAAAATGAAAATAAAAGACGCAATAAATATATATAATTAATTTACATCGCTTGCTTATTTAGTTTTAGGAAGTTAACAAGTTATATCTAATTACATTTTAAAAGATAGTGTTATTATAATTTGTTAATATATTTTTTCTAAAATAAAATGATATATGTTAGTAAATTTCACAAATATTTATTAACTTACGCCTATTTATTTTTTTTAGTTAGAATAAATTACTAAGTTGTACTTGAATATATATATATATATATATTTAAGATAATTATACTTGTAATTCATCTAAAATACAAGTACCAATAAGTTAACAAATTCCTATAAAAGAATGGCTACAACTTTTTTAAATCAAATAATCTATTAAAGCATTTATGCATTTAATTTATGATGATAAGTTTAGAATAATTCGTCAAACTATTTAGATTAACCCAACTTATCCATAACACATCAAGGTAGCTAATAATTGGATTAAATTGTCAAAATGATAGATTAAATAATGCAACTTAAAGCAACCCATTTTGATACATATGTTGAATTCAACTCATTTGGCATGGATTCAAACTTGAGAAATGGTTTAATGATTTTTTTTATACATTTTAATGATATAAAATTGATGCACACGAAAAATACAAGAGAAAAGGTGAATAATTTCGAAAAAAACGTTTATAAATTTTTTGATATATAATATATAATCTATCTAATATTTAATAACAATATTGGAAGCATGGATCGGAAGTTGGAAGTTGGAAGTGGTGTTGAGTGTTGACTATATACGTAGGATCTTACAACATGTGATGACTGATGATTGCATTCCCGTTAGCAGGCCACGTGTCTGCCTGTAAAATTTTCATTTACATTTTCTACTCTTTTCTGTTCATGGCCAAGTAGTGTAATAATAATAAATATAAAAGAAAATATACAAAATGAACACGACTCTCTTAATTTTCCTTCCCCAGTATTTGTTCTCTCTCCCTCCAAACTCGCGTGGATCTCTACACAATTTATTTCCCACGCGCATTCTCTCACCAGATCGCCGCATCGTTCCATTTTCTGCATCGGTAAATGATCCTAAATTCCCAACAGTAGAAAGATCTAGGGTTCCTGCTCAAGCCGCAGCTACCTCAACCACATTTCTTCCATTCTGATTCAAATTCAGCTCGCTCTACTTCCTTTTCTTCTCCGCGCGGTTCGCTTCGTGAATGAGAGTTACGCTTACGCTTTTGTTTTAGATGAGCATGGAGGTCGTTAACGATGTGGCGTCGTTGGAGGTCGATTTGTTGCAGCTCCCTGAGGTCTCCGCTCTCGCTCTCAAGTCTAACCTCAGCTTCGTCGAGACGCTCTT